ACATGACAGAAGTAAACATAAATAAATCATTGGATTTTATAACGTTTAAGTTAAAAAAGAGTTTGTTGAATTTTTGGTAGAATTTAAATTTAAAGGGGAAGAAAAAAGTAAAACTCATATAAATATTTTGGTGTTAAAAGTCTCTAGACCTTCAATTAAAAAAATAAGAACAATTTCTGAACGAAAAATAGGTAATAATCAGAAAAAAGTCAAGTGAATTTCAGTTGGTATTAATTTACAAATTTTAATATTAACGAAAACTGATCGTTTTTTTTTTTTTATTTGTTTTAAGTTGCATAAACTACTAAGGTCATGAGCAATTACGGTAGGGAGTAAACTTTTGTGGTTGGGCTCGTTTTTTATTTATTTTTTTTTTTTTTTTGAGTGAGCAGCATAATACACTTAAATATGGAAAATATTCATTGGTGTATGCCGGATTCGAACCCAGTCCAACGCTTTGGTAAGCAAGAGCCGGATCCAATAGGCTACTGCACGCCTTTTGATCGTTGAATTTCAAAAACTACAGGTTTATAACTTAACTATTTTTTAATGGAAACTTATGAAGATAATAGAACAGTAGAAAATAATAAAGTATAATCGTACCGTACACAATCACGCCTAAAAAAAATTAACCTGAATTTTTATGAAGAGATTATTCAGAACAAAAAATGATTTCTTTATAAAGATAAAAACGCTCACACCCCAACAGAGATCAGAATATCTTAGAGAAATGATTGAAGCAAAAAAATTAATTTTTTGACATGAATTTATTGTTAACATCATAAATTTGCTGTGACTTGAGTAATCAAATCGGTTTACACTTAATTTTTAATCCACATGATAATTCGAATATTGCATTTACTGAACAATCAAAAGAATTGAATTTCATAAAAACTTAATTTTTAGACGGCTCTTAATTATTCGATTGAACACTTTGCAAATGAAAACTTAGAACTACCTTTCGCCATTCAATAGCCGTAATAGTAGAACTATTAATTTGCCACGTTTACTTAAATATGTAACTATGTCATTTTTCACCTTGTTGTTATTTACAATTCTATATTTATGAAAATACTACCACAAACAGGCATACTTTCTTGTTTCGATAAACTAAATTTTAAAAGAAAAAAGTAAAATGATAAAATTTCAATATTGCATGCTTTGTGTAAGCGCAAAGTATTCTTTATTTTCGCTTACATTGATAAAAAAAATAATTTGATTCTAGAAAAAAATTCTAGTACCAAGAATATCATTTTGAAGAATTCGATCATCATGAATTGAATGGGATTTAAGTAAATTTTTGTTTGAATTGTTATTTTTTCACAGTGTCTTAAGTCTCTTAAAGAGAGTCAAGTTATTCTTTTACAAGAAATAAAATTCGAATGTTTTATTACATTAAATGGTATCCGACAGTGATACTGTACATGTGAATGATGCAAAAAACGTATTGTTAAAAAAAATAATTGCTAAAATTACAAAGTTTTTTTCTAACTATCAAATTTCTTTCATTAACCTCTCCATCTGACTCATGGAGAATTGTAGAGGAATGGACATTGCAGCTTAACATTATTTTGTTTAATGATATTAATTAATTATTTTCAGCTTCCCATGGGTAAAATTCTTATTGTCTTTTCAGCAACCATATAAAAAAATGTATTTCTTCTAAATACAGTTTGAAAATAACTACACTTAAATTAATTGTTTTGTTGGCTGAGCATCGGTATATAATATAGTTTTTAATTGGTTCATTTTTTATGATTCACTTATCAGAATGAAAGAGAGCGTTCAATTCGTATGAAAAAAATTCCATCCACGGAAAAATTCAAATAAGCTTTAAAATTGAATTCTAAATAAAATTAATTTCTTAAGAAAAATCAATATATATTAATATATTGTAATTAACCTTGTTATTGAAATTATTTCTTCAATTTGTTCTTGCATAGTTTTTTTTGTAACGACGTTTATAAATTAACGTCATGACATGAGCGTTTAAAGGCTTGCATATTTGAATTTACCAAACATTACATTTTATTTCATAGGTACAATATATTTTTTAAATATCGAAACATTATAATCAATATTTTTTGCCAAAAGAATTAAATCAATCAAAATTTTAATTTACAAAATTAACGCTATGCTTTCACTAAATATTTATTAACAATTTTTCGAATCACTTAATTCTCCCTTCAAGATTGCAATATCTTTTCAAACCCAACGCCATAAAAATGAGAAAATTTCTCTCCTTATAAAATAAAATTCGATCGAACAAGTGTCTAATTAACAGCTAACAAGTATCGATACCGTCATCTATTGACATTAATTAAGATAATGTTTTCCTACGGCGAATAAAATCTCAGTCAACATCTGGTGTCATGTTCGACAAACAGCCATATAGAGGTCCTCGCTTCTTAATCAGCCGCCATATTCCTATAAAAGTCATATTGACAGTCAGTAAACAATATTTAATTAAGATCTCGCCGGGATTCTGCCGTACAAAAGAAGTTCAAACGTCGCCTCCGATAAGTCAATAGGGGAGGTTTAGGGTCATTTGCCCTGAAATGATGCAAATAGCTGATCTCGGAGCAGTTACGCCTACCCAACGTTTTCCCAATTCCGTGCTCATACTCGAGTCTACTAGCGATGTTTGACTACAAAATATTTGTAATAGTAAGTCAAAAAATCCTGACAGGAGTTTTCGTAGCAATTGTTAGTGTTACTGAATGTTTGTAAAAAGGCGAATGGATAAATAGACCAGCCCAGAGATTTAGGGTATGTTTACCTGAAACTAAGTACCTTGACGTGTTTTCGTCACGGGTGAATATTATTTAATACATTTACGTTTCCTAGGTCCAGTTTTAGTCAAGTCTTCCCGGGTCCTGGGTCCTCGATGCCACATTAGTATTAGTACGTACGGCTAACATAACGTTAAGGTTAATATCTTTCAGCTGGGTGTCTACCTAATGCCAAACGAGACTCGTAACTGTTTCTGTAAATACTGGGCCCCCTGTAGGTAGAAGGATAGAAACATACTTCAGGTCCTTCTTCATTTGTGCTCTATCCTTGTCTGTTGGCTGGCAATTTTAATTCTGTGTCGGGCCCTACTCATTGAACATTGTATTGGGGCCCAACTCAAGAATATCGCCCGCTTCCGGGGGTCCAAAGGGTATTCAAGTTGCATTCAAGTTATATGTTCAGCTTGAAAGGCTTACGTGTTTATAGTCTACAGTGCGGAGCTCATAAATTTATCAGGAAAATGGATCATTTTCGGTTGAGTTACAAGTTGCGACGTTACCAGCATTGTTATATGCTCAACTGGGGACCTTGACTCCAACTCAATCCTTTTTGACGGAAATTTAGTTCACTAGTTGACAGTTATTTATGTATAAGAGACAAAGGATTTTGGAAGCTATGCTCCTATTATAGTCGAAGACTGCCAGTTCTTCTGTTTTAATTGTATCGATTTGTTTTAGTTGGTGATTTACATGCTCAAGTTTGGTAAATTAAAGTTTTTATTTTTACGATAATTTGTTATTTCATTTATTGAGATGGTTTTTGGGATTTTTGTTGAAATTTTTCGACGTTTCAGAGCTTTGGAAGAAAATACAAAGGTTAATGTTTCAAAAATTTACTATTCTTGGTAATTAAAGACAATTGATGGTGAAAAAATATTCAATATGTCGACAGGAAAATTATCTTTAATGTTGCTAAATTTTTTTGTTTCAAAGAATTTTTATTTCTTCTCGGATTTTTTTAATAATTTTCTGAATTCAATATAGAAAGAAAATGATAAAATTAAGAAGATATTTAGTAAAAAAAAATTGTTTTAAAAGAATCAAAAGATTTTGAGATTTAAGAAAATTTCTTTTGATCGAAAATATTTATGTAATGGTCAATTTTTAGTATGTCGGGTAAAATTCATTTTTCGTAAGATGTAATGGTCGAAAATGAAGATTGTACTAAATAATCTATCTAAAAAAAATCACACTATACAAACGAAAATTTGAGAGGTCTATGTTATAGAGAAGTTAGCCGTAAATTTTTACGTAATTTGAGTACAACGACAACAAAAAACAGTACAACTTATCGCAGTACCCGGGGAAAACGGTTTAGATCTGACCAGATATAATTATATCTGGTCAGATCTAAACCGTTTTCCCCGGGTACTGCGATAAGTTGTACTGTTTTTTGTTGTCGTTGTACTCAAATTACGTAAAAATTTACGGCTAACTTCTCTATAACATAGACCTCTCAAATTTTCGTTTGTATAGTGTGATTTTTTTTAGATAGATTATTTAGTACAATCTTCATTTTCGACCATTACATCTTACGAAAAATGAATTTTACCCGACATACTAAAAATTGACCATTACATAAATATTTTCGATCAAAAGAAATTTTCTTAAATCTCAAAATCTTTTGATTCTTTTAAAACAATTTTTTTTTACTAAATATCTTCTTAATTTTATCATTTTCTTTCTATATTGAATTCAGAAAATTATTAAAAAAATCCGAGAAGAAATAAAAATTCTTTGAAACAAAAAAATTTAGCAACATTAAAGATAATTTTCCTGTCGACATATTGAATATTTTTTCACCATCAATTGTCTTTAATTACCAAGAATAGTAAATTTTTGAAACATTAACCTTTGTATTTTCTTCCAAAGCTCTGAAACGTCGACTTTCGAAACTCTTTCGCACCAAGTTGACGACAAGTTTCTCGAGAAATTTGGCGACATATTGCGGCAGTAGATTGGTCTTGTTTTTCTCAGAAACTTGTAGCCAACTTGACGCCAACAGTTTCAAATTCGGAAGTTGGCCGCAAGTTGTCGGTAAGTTGGTGGCAACTATCTGACACCAACTTCCCTGATAACCACAGTTTCAGACCAACCAAGTTATTAAATATTAATAATTAACTAAACTTATCATCTTTTAAACTCTTACAAGTTTATTTTCCAGGAAAATAAAAAATAAAGAAAATGTTCAAAATTCTGTTACTAATAATGATAGTAGCAATATTGTGTTCGGAAACAATAGGATGTGGCTATCCCATCCAAGAGCCAATTCGACCGACACCTCCGGTTACCCAAACAAATTCAAGTACTCACTTATCGAATCTGCCAGATTCGCGGAGATTGAACACAGTCGCACTTCTCGGGACTCATGATTCAGCAACATATTCCGTGAAAGGTCGTTTGACTCAAACACAAGTGATGACTATAACTGAACAATTAGAATTCGGCGTTCGCGTGTTTGATATGCGAGTTCGTCGCAAAAACAATGAATTTGCGATGTATCATGATTTCGTATTCTTAAACCAAATGTTTGAAGATATATTAATAGAGATAAAAATATTTTTGAAAGCTCATCCCCGAGAGCTAGTAATATTGCTAATGCAAGAGGAATACGAAGCTGAAAATTCAACTTTGAACGTGTGTCGAATTCTAGAAAAATATGTTCAAAAGAAAAAACGATTCGTCCGACATTGGTCACTCAGTGACACTATCGAAGAACATCGTGGAAAAATTTTATTCGACCAAAATCAACATAGTTTCTCGAGATGTATAGTTTATTTACCCTGCGCGATCCAAAATTTTTGGCAAATGACCTACTTAGATGCATATACAGACAAATGGAAAATGATCTTGAAAAACTTTCAAGATATAATGTTCGATCCGTATAGAGATACTCAATGCTACATTAATTTTTTATCTGGCCATGGTGGCTTTTTGGAATCACCATTCGATATTGCTAAGTTCATGAATCCACGAATGACTGATTATTTTCGTAATCCTAGAAACACCTTGTACATCATTATGGCCGATTTTCCGACAACTGAGCTCGCCACGAAAATCATCGGTAGTAATCAATTGCCATAATTACGACTAATACAACTTTTCATATGTGATTGGAGAAGATGTCCTGCAACGCTAACAGGTTGAATTGTAATACTTATGCAAAATGAGTACTTGATGTAATTTATGATTTTAAACGTTGTAAAAATTTAGATTATATTAATAAAACTTTTGGAAAGTTTAAAAATACATGCATTGTATACTCACTACTTAAAAAAATTCAATAAATCCATAATATAGAACAAGAAACCTAAAAAAAATTGACCCTGCAGGCCATCTTTGGGACTTACTGCTATGCTTATGCTAAAAAAAGATAGGAATGATTAATTTTGTAAATATTCGAGCTCCTTGAGGTCCAAAATAGTTACGAAAAGATTGAACTTTTCGAGTCATAATTTGTTGGTAAATTTATAAGAAATTTGAGTCCAACTTGAATTGAAAAGTTACGTGCAATTTATTTACGAGCATCAAGTTGAACAAAAAGGATCTTCATGTTTTACCATAAGTGAATGCAATCACTGATGGGTTAACTTTTCCTCGAGAATGTCTGCAGTGGAAAAAAATTAACTTGAATAAAAAGAAAAATTCTTGAATCAAAAAAATAATTTTAAAGATTTTCATTGTCTTGAATCAAGACGAAGAATTTTTTAATCAAGTAAAATTCATTTAAACCAACAAAAATTTTTTAGTTTAAGAATTTTTCTCAAATCAAGAATATGAAATTCTTCAAAATTATTTACTTGATTCAAGTAAATTTTTTATAGCTATCAGAGATAACTATTTTTACAATTTACTTAGCCGTCAAAAGATCATATAAATTTTCTTCTCACATTATACGAACTCTACTATTACAGCCGAAGGTAATTTAGAGGTCTTCACTTTCCACCTTCAGTCATTGTCATAAGACACGTCAACGTGCGGTAATAATATTTTTTTCCTTATTTTCATGTATCGCCATCTATAGTTCTCCTAAAAATCTAATTTTCACTGATTTCGTCTATATCTAAATGATAACGTTATCAATGTTATCATTAACTATATTGTGACCAAATAACTATAATTCAATCCACTACAAATAAATATTTTTAATGCATTGTGTTATTATTTTTTATCAAAAGTAGTAATATTTCCTTTTTGAGCGATTTTTAATGAACCATTAATAATTTAATCATTAATAAATTTATTTATTATTTTTATAATTAAAATTCACCACAATTCCCTTACTTATGAAGTAAATAGATTATTTGTAAAATTTACATAAATTCAATTCAAAATAACTATTAATATCTCAAAAAAAAAAAAAATACAGGGGTCCTAAGGGGTCTATCGACCCTTAGGGGCCATTCGTTAATTACGTAAGGGCAATTTTGGTGACTTTTGACCCTCTCTACCCCCCATATAAGTATATGTAAGATTTTTGGAACCCCCCTCCCCGTTCTTACGTAAGATTTCATCTTAATCTTCTAAATAATAAACTGTTATAATAAATGTTAGGAAAGGATCAGTTTCACTAAAACTTACAGGTCAACGTGGGTCTATCATTTTTATTCTTTAACAAGTAATAATGTTTTTTAAAAAGGAATGTTTTTTTTTTTTATAATAATAAAAATACGATAATACACGAAGAAATGTACTATAATTTTTTCTATAGAACCAAACATGGATAACAATAAAAACATATGAAATTTTAATATGTTATTTTTTTTTTTTCAATAGCAATAAAAATTATTTAAATAAAATAAAAATTTGACTGTACACTTTAAAATTATGAAAACTATTTGGAATCCAAAATCAAATAAGATTTTTAATATTGAATTTTGATTCTCGAAATATTACGTAAGAATGAATTTCACCCCCCTTCCTCCCAACATAAGAACATGTAGAGATGTCGGGGGATTTTCTTAATCCCCCGACTCCTTTAATACCCTTACGTAATTAATGAATGGCCCCTTGACAAAAAAAAAATCTATAGAATAGAGATAATAGATCCGCAGTTAATAAAAAAAATTAAAAATAATTTTTTTATCCACTACCGTTATTTTTATAATCGATTTCATTTTATATAATTTTTCTACTCCAACCCTTTCATAAATATGTTTTGTTTTTACAGTTAATAAAAAATCCACCGACCTAAAAAGTAAGCCCGAACATCGAAAATGAAAGAAAAACAAAAACATTTGAATAATAATTTCCTTTATTTGTTCATCTATATATATTTGTTTTATAATCTTATCGTATATTACATCAGTTGTATTTTCCTTAACAATACTCGACCTTATATTGACATTACAGTACATTAAACATAAAAATATATAATATTAATATTAATAATAAAAATAGGTATACTAAAAAACATGGCCGCAATTTTCGTCACAACCGCTTATAAGAAAATATATAAAATTGTACTATACATAGTCAATCATCAATTCAATGTATTTCACAAAAACAAGAATCACTTTTTTTTAATATTTATAAATTTAACAACCAACACATTCATTATATCATGACATTACTTATTTTATTAAAATTGTTTTTATCTTAATTAGGCTAAATAAAAATATTGTTCAATTTCAAAATACATTATAAGTTTACATGATAAATGTACCTAAATTATCACATAATTAATACGATCTCATCTTTCGTTTCTTCATAGTTTTTTTTTTTATTTATAAAGTACTTTTTTAAAAATTCTTTTAGAGATCCTTCAACCGATTTGAGTTCGCTTAATAACTTAAGGGTATAAAACACTTAGCATTTACGTTTGTATCTTTCATCAACACAAACACATACATCTTAACATGTTCAGAAGCCACATAGGTCTTTTTAAAATTTTTTTTCTTTGTGCCCTCCAAGAAGCAAAACAGACACACTCTTATCCTTTTTTAAAAGAAATGAATTTACTCCGCCCCGAAAAAAATACGATTTCAAGAATTTTTTTGTCCGCCCTTTTTGTGCAAAATGAAATATTGTCAACTTGTTGAAGTGGAATAGGTATTAAGCCATTTAAAATACATGACATTTCATGAAATTGATATCTCAGTTTCTTAAAATACACCCCATATTTTTGCTTTGTGCAGAAAGGCTTCAAAATAGTTACAAAAAAATTAAAAAAAATTGCTGATAAAATTTTTAAGTTTATATGCTTAGTAGCAGTTTCACTTAAGTTGACAATAGATTGCTTCGGAGAAAAAAAAATAGATTTTTTCGGAGGATCCGGTTTCGTCCTTTTTTTACTATATTGACCTAAAAGAGCTCTTAAGTTTGAAATAATCTTTAAAGATGTTGAGGGGACAAAACAGGTATTATAACGCATTAAAAAACAAAATTGAAAGTTTTACAGTTATCAATAATTAAAATTTTTTTTTTTTTACTGGCGCCCAGTAAAAAAATCTTAAAAATTTTAAAACTTATTTTTCTATAATTTTTCGCCTATCTAAGCAATTATTTATTGTCAGATGAGTTCTTTATTATGTTTGGTCTAGAAAAAGTACAAAAAAAATTTTTTTTGTACTTATAATTGATACGTTTTTTTTTTTTTTCAGAGAAAATTTTGCAGAAACTTCAAAAAATTCTTTCGAAAAAAAATTTATAATTTGGTAAAATTGATGTAAGCTGATGCGGATAAAACCTTTAAATTCCTTCTAATGGTTGTTTGGGTCCCTTCAACACTCAAAAAAGAAAAAAACGCACAAAAAGCCCTTTTTTGGGGCAAGTATAAGAAAGAACTGAAAATGAGCTATTTTTCAGTAAATTCCGGCAACCTATGGCTGCTTCTCGGTAAAGTGGTACAAATAGAATTTCTTTTATGGCGCAATATCGGGTGGCAGAAAAAGAAGCATGAGAACAGAAGCTTGAAGGTCTAGTCCCTTTGTGATATTTTTTTAAAGACTGCTACCATTTATCGTCCATAGACCCGGACAAAGCGACTAGTTAATAGTTAACATTTATTTGAAAACTACACGAGAAAGTGCAGGTATACCATCAACCAATACTCGGGTATAGACCTGGTTTTTGTGTTGATGAGATGAGGGTCTACTATTTATTATTATGGATTCACGAATAGATTTAACGGACAGGTAACCAATCCTTGGCGCCCGACATCTACCGCCGGTTTCCAGAACGATTGCACCTGTCACACGGTAGCACACATACACACACATAAACTAAACGTAGATGCTAGTGTCCTACACCCTACACTGGATTCTCGAGACATAAGAGTCCGTAGCTGGTTTTAAGCGGGTAAATTTTGCATCCACAAAGAACGAATCCAGCCTTTGTATCTTCGAGGATCATTTAAACTTTCAACAGTGAGCTTTATACTAATTCTTGGAAGCACTTTTGTAATCACACTATGCTCACTTTGTTAACGTAATTGGCACAGGCCACATCTATTTACACCGAATAGAAACCCTGCTGGAGGATACTACTTGTCGTATAGCTGTAACTGCTACACTAAACTAAAACCTTTTTTTAAATTCCAGCTAGGTTTCTTTTGTTTGATTAAAATTATAGTACTATCACCGACCAATTGCACTGCGAAGCGTTCTTAACCTAAAATTTCACTTACAGTTACTGATAACGATAATGTGTGATGCTGGAAGCTAAATAACCATTATTTCTACACAGTAAAAGATTTTACAAAAAATAAGTATATATTCTCTCGAATCTAATAAAATTCTGATTGCAATCAAAATTTAAACAAATTAAAAAATCAAAGTCAACTAGAAAAGGTTAAATATTTAAAAACTTTTTACCGTGTAGAATTAGTGGTCGTTGCACTATTGAGATTGTACTTGTTGATCACCACAAAAAAAAAAGGATTTATGCTTATGAATAGTTAATATATGAGCGTTACATCATTAAACGAGTACGGGCAATGAGCAGTGTCTTGGATATAACTTAGATCCTCAAGTTAGGAGTTGGAATCTCTGCGGGAAGGATGACTCCGCCATTTCCTTGACTTCAGTCCAATCGTCCTCAGTCTCTCTTTATAAATACATAAAGCATATAGATATTCATTTTTAACATACTCATACTCAAACCGACACACATATATTCTCACGCACATTCAAATCTTTTTGTCCTTGGGATAATGGATGACCCTCGACTCTCAAGAGTCCGATGATTGATGGTACAGAAGCATGCCACAACCGTTCTTTTTTTTAAAGTCATTACGAATCCGTTACGCGGATTCCGGCTCTTCTGACACCAGTCTAAAGCAATATAAGTAATATAAGCACTTTTAGTGTCTCTTTATTATTTTACCGGCGCATTATGTCCTCGATGGTGAATCCTTGTCTAGCAGGTGCGGGTCTAGGTGGTGGCGGTGGTTGCGGAGTTGGAGCTCTTGGCGCCCGAGACTTCTCTTCTTGAATCCTTTCGCGTTCCCGTTCTCGTTCCCTTTGTCGTTCAAGTTCTCGTTCGCGTTCACGTTCTCGTTCCTGAATCTCCAGGAGTACCCTTGACGGACCAGGTGATCCAAGTCTTCGGCGGTAGGAGGTAAGGATTGGTGGTGGTGGAGGAGGAGGTGGCGGTAAATGAGCTGGAGGGTTGCTTTGACCATTGCTGGTAATGGTAGCTGGTTTCACTGGGAGCAAATCCCGTCGAATTTGCAGCTGAGGTCTTGGCGCCAGGTTCTGAGGTGTGTAACTTGAAGAGGAACTGCTGGGGTTTGAGTTAGAGCTCGGATTAGGGTTCGGATTGCTGGAAGACGTTGAACTAGAAGTTGAACTAGAAGGACCCGGACCTGGAGCTTCTGGACCATCTTCCTCGGGGCTATCGTCGTCTCGAAGAGCTTCCTCGAGCGCTTCGGGTGGGACGTCACCTACTGCGTGAGTAAGTGCATGTCTGCGTAAGTCGCAGTTCCTTCGGAAGACTTTCCCGCAGGATGTACACTCGTAGGGCTTGTGGTCGGTGTGGGTCAATAAGTGCGTCTTCAAGTTGCTGCGCTGGTTAAAGCTTCTGGCGCAGACTGGACACTTGTGGGGTGACTCCTCCATATGAAGAATCTTATGCACTGCGAGGGTGCGACTCTGGCAGAAGCCCTTTCCGCATTCGCCACACTTGAACGGCTTCTCCTTGCTGTGGATGTACCTGGAATATGATGAGGATTAGTAAAGTTATCTTGTTATTATCCGTGTTAATCCGATCTAATTTGGTGGTGTTATAAGTTTAGAAACTGGTCTTCTTAAAACGGATAGTGTTTTGACGAAGGTAACTTTGTTCGGTGGTGAAATTTTTAAAAAGGTAGATGGAAATAGGATATTCAAAAATTTTTCAACTAGTAGGTTTGTATTAGTAAGAGTGAATCAATAGACACACCAATATTCGGTAAAAGTAACCAGTTTTCAATAAAAATGATCTAAAACTTTAATATGAATTAATCCTTACCGATGATCTCTAAGATGATCTTGCCGTCGAAAAGCTTTTCCACAGATATCACAGGAATACGGTCTCTCGTCAGTATGAGTTCTTTCGTGAATCAACAAATTATAACTTTTCGTAAACTGCCGATTGCAGAATTTACAAATGAATTGTTTTTTAGGTCTAGATGCTCTTCCTGGAGCTCGAAGCAATCTCCGGTCCAGGTGCTGATGAGCTAGAGGTCCTCCGGGTGGGTACATGGCACTGCTGCCAGGAAATGGACCTGCAAAAACTGGGTATCCTTGCGGAGGCTCCAACAGTGGAGGTGGTGGCAGAAGAAGAGCTCGTGCTGCAGCTAGTTCCTTCCTTTTGTCAGCCATCATCGCCATTATGTCATAACTAGAAGACTTCCTCACTGGTGGGCCATCTGGAGCATCATGTTCCTGGTTCGAATTCGCTGAATTCGGTTGCGGAGGCGGTCCTGAAAGATGTGGATGCATATCTCCAGGATAAGGTGCTAGATGCAGCCGCGATGGCACCACCGGAACGAAAGCTGATGACTCCCGGTGATGAGGATGGCCTAGCCCCGCTACGAAACTATGGTGATGATGGTGGTGATGGTGGTGGTAAGCTGATAAGCTTGCTGGATCAAACTGTCGGGATCCAGAAGATCCAGAGCCTCCTCCTGAATTTGAGGAACTTGAGCCATGAGATGTGTTCCTCGTGGATATCAGCAAGTCCCTCGATCGAGTTTCATCCGCCGCGGAAGAGGTTATCACCAAGTCCGTTGGCATCTTGTCTGCTTGGCTCAGTACCTATAAACAGAGCATTGGCTTTAGAATGTAGAAATTAATTATAAACAGTAAATTTTTAAGAAAACAGCATTTGTTGATGAAGAAATTTTTTGTTGTTCATCAATTTAGAAAAATAAAATTTGACTTTGATAAATTTAATACCTTAATTGATGAAAATACTATTAGGATTGAAAAATGAAGAAATTTTAAGCTATGAGAAAATTTCTTAGATTAAAAGATTCTATAAAATATTGCATTCAAGAAAATCTACAATATTTCTTAGCGTGTATTGTTTTTAAAAATCCATGCCCAAGTAATATCATCTAGTATCGTCTAAGGTATTAATTACAATCGTTAATCATAGTCTTAACTGTCTTAGTGTAGATGTGTATACATAAAAACGCGCACTCTATCGGCAGCAATCAGGTATCATACGCGAGCGCGTTCCACGAATCTACCACAAGAGACTGGTTATCTCACGAAGCACACCTGCCAACATGGCTTCCGCGGGGCCGTGATGGCTGGTCCTCCGCCGCCATCATGGAATCACCGATTAAATATCCGTGCGCTGCATACATCATCACACATCTCTTCCAGACACCAGTATCAAACTACCAAAACCGATTTCCTTATTGAAGTATATTTGAGATTCAAGGACCCCTTTGCTATCAAGCACTGAAACCCAACAGCATTCAGATACAAAGCATCCATACAAAGATTTAATTACCTGTGACCTTGTATGAAATTCTCCAGCGTTAGTTCCAGATCCAGGATTTCATTGCAATCACTATCACACCATAAAACAAGAGCTACAATGCATTAACCCTTTTTGAAAAAAATGCAAGCTAGCAACACATCACTGACACTAGTTGGGATCAACTAATAACTGATAAAAAATCCGATGACTGATCCACCAGGAGATCTTCCTTGAGTTTGCTGATCTAATCAGCAGTCAGCTATCAGTCATAGTGGCACAACACTAATTCACGTAATAGTGCAGCTGAAACTAGAGTACACCAGTAGCAACTTAAACTGATTCGACATAACTGTAGCACACAAGTGGTAAGTAGCAGGTTCGAGGTACCAGCGCGTTTAACTGCGTGTTGGACGCCGTCAGGTAAGCTACCTCCACCTCAATCCACATGCCAGTGTCTAAGTGTGTGAATGTGTGTGTTTAAGTGTCTGTGTGTGAGTTGTGTGTCGAGCAACCGATGGGTAGAAGAGAAGCAGTATGAGTACAGCGGTGAGTTTCTTTGCGTTTGGCTGCCGCTAGTAGCGCTGCTGCTGGATTGGATATTGGATGTTGGATGTTGGATGTGCTACACAGTTTCTTCCTCTGCTACCTCTGTCCTGCTCTAAGAACTCTCCTTCTCCGTCGAGTTACCTGGTCCCCAGTTGGTAGATAGTGGGAGTAGAGTAGAGGCTTTACCTGAGATACCTTGAATGCGAATGTGCCAGTGTAAGAACTAACTATATCTGGCTGAACAGTGGGGGATTGTAATATAATGTAATGGAAGATGGAGAAGCTGCTCGACAAGAAGGCAAGATCTTGGTGGCCTGATTAAGACAAAGATAGAATCGGCTGGCGAAGGGGACCGGCTTTGTATTCGAGGACCTCAACTTGTTGGAAGTGGTTGCTTGCGCCTGAGCCTGGACCAAGTAGAATGCTATCAGGGCCGTATTACTCAAATTTAACTCGCCCTCTCAGTGGGACATCTCACCTCTGGTTTATGGACTATGGCATTAGATCAACCAAATCAAGATTTGCCAGGATTTGATGGCTGTTGGCATTGTCATTGTCATTGTTGCTGAAGATGCTGTTGCAGGAGTTAGACTTGGGCTCGGTATTGGTGCTTGATTTGCGATCCGTGATCCATGATCGAATCTGCGGATTTGTGCGAGTACCAGCTGGAGTCTGCTATAGACAGAGAAGCTGGAAAAGAGACGGAATTTGCTTAGCCAGAGGCGCTTTCGAAGAGATCGTCTACTTCTTACCAATACCACTTGGTTCTTTACATTACATATTATTTCTTACATTCGCCGACGCCCAGCCGGCTTTACACTGTACAATATACACCAGTTGCTGCTGGTATATATGGATATTTTAGTCTTCCCTTTACGGGTCTCATCTATTTATTCAAGTTACCTTATTATTCCTATCATTGTTTGCGCTCTCATAGGTTTTATTTGGAGATACCTGTGTTAGTACACTGTTTCTATTTCATTTTTAAGGTGGAAAAGTTAACACCATTATCAAACTTCCTGCCGTTTGATGGTTGTGGACTAAAACACAAAACCCGTTTTCACTGTTTATATTAGACAGCTATTCTGTTGTAAGACCCCAATAAATTTCGTCGTCTTCTTATTCAAACGATCTTTAGTTTTAAATTTTTAAAGCACCGGGGTTTATGGATGATTGTTATTATGAAAAATTTTGTCATTGAACTGAATTTTATACCATATATTGGTATTTAAGATTACAAATTAACGTAATAATTATTTTAGAATAAACTAATCATGCTTTTTTTTTTTAAATAATCTAGATTTTTTGAAATTAGAGATTTTTTTAACGCTTAAAAAATTTAACTGTACTATAATTTATAATTGTTATCTTGATTTTTGTAGGTCGAAATTCTTTCAGGTCATTCAGAGCAAGCTGGAAAAAATTGATAATGTGGTACCACGTGTAAAATTAGAAAATGATGGTGTGAAAATCGTATTAAATACTGGATTTCTTGAAGGATATAACAAATGAGAAAATTTTTTCACGCTACTGTAACAAATTACTAAAAAGAAACAAATTATTTTTATGCATCATTTTGAATTATAAGGTTGAAATTAAAATTCTAGGTATAATATTGAATACCCAAAAAAATCTCAAGAGATCTTTTTTACTGAAAATTCAATTTTATTGTAAACTTTACCCTTTAGTCAAGATTTTGAATTTTGTAGTTTTTTACCTCTCGAAAATTTACCGTCTAGATATTTTTTTTTCTATCTTTACCGTTCTGATAATAACCTTCTGAACAAAAAGCAACACCAATAATTTTAGTTCATTGACCAGTATTTCGAGTCTAAAATTTCAAAATTTCAGCCTGAATTTTTTAGTACATGGGAACAAGGTCTCGGATCTGTTACTTCTCCTGGCAAACGGACCATAAAAGAATTATTATTTAAAAGCGAGACCACTTTGCTTATTGGGGATTACGTGTGTCCCGGGATTTGCGTGACCAGAAACCAAAGTCCCTCGAATAATATAATTCGTAAGCTAAATTTAGTCAACCTTCGCCTGTGAATATACATCCTATATCTGGATCTGGATCTGGACAAGCCTCGATCACGATGCAAGGCATTCCAGGGAACAAAGCCCGAAATTTTTATAGGAATCATAATAAAAACGTTTCCTCCTAAATCTTTAAAAACCCAGTAGGCTATTATCCGTACAATAATGTACCACACATCCATAAATATAATGCAATGTAATTCCTGAATACTACACTGTCCCTGAGAAAGTTCTTACGTCCTCGAACGCCAGGTACACGGATTGTCTCTTTAGCAGCGCGTTAACTTTGAGATAACCTGCCCTTTAGGTGCTAAGTTATTTTAATTGTCCAACTAATTTTATCTCAAACGCCATTCCTCCGTATGGTAAAAGGAAATTTTCTCAATATAATAAAGTAAATAAAGGTAGCTTTACTTAACTTTTAATTTTATTTTTTATTTCAACTCCCGGATGAGTATTAAAAATAATATTAAAAGTATAAGAAAATGTATCAATAAAGGCTGGATGAAATTAAATGAAAATATGTCTGAAGTCTGAAGCATTTTAGCCATATACATACAAAGTGTAGTGGTACGGCGCGCGTTGCTTAGCGTGCAACCGCCCGATGTTGTTTTGTTCACTGAACTAGTTCCCTCTCTTCTTGCCCCGCACTTGTCCGAGGCACCGTAGTCCCTATCTGGACCTGGACTGCTTGTGGCTCTTTTTCCCTCTCTGTTGCTCCGCATAAGAGAGAAAGAGACCGAACCGGTGAGAGAGGGGAGCCAATTTTTTCAGCTCCTCGTGCGTCAGATAGAGACAGATTACAAACTCGAGATGGCTGGGGTCTTTCATTTTATTCTGGCATACCAGCACGACACGTAATGAGAACGTACCATCTTTACTGGTCATCAGTGCTATATAATACTGATATATAGTATAAATGAATTACTAATGTTATTCTAACTAAAGACAGTTGACTATAATAGTCTGATTGCACTTCAAAGGAATTTTCAAAAATTTATGAGCTAGAGAAAATTTTTTTTGCTTATTTCTTGTGATCTATGCGAAAAAAAAATTTGAAAAATTTTATTCCTAGGTCTAATTAAAATTTTCCTAGAAATTAAAATTTATATTTTCACGTTAGAATATTTATGTGCTTGATGGATGTAATCCTTACCTCAAATTTATCAGTTTCTGAAAAGTTTATCCTGTTTTGAAGCATGGTCTGGACTTTCAGAAGAGGAATGAAGAGGTAGAGGCACTGAATACATAAATGTATAATTGAGTTTTTCAGAATTTGCGTATGTATGGTGAATTATTTGAGGAAGATCAAAGCCTTGGATCCTGATTCGAGTGAGGAATTTATTAAATTGGTATTCAGTATGAGTTTTATGAGTAGCAAGTGCCTCCGTTGAATAACCGAAGACAAATTCCGTAAAGGATTTATTCGTTGTTTTCATCCTCAATAACCTGTTTGGTAATTTTGAGTTTTTTTTATGTGATAGAATATTTTTTTTATTTCTTCAAAGATTTTTAATAATACTCTATAGTTTAGATATATTATTAAAAAATCAGAAAATAATTTTCTTTTATCTTAGATTTAGTTCGATTATTTTAAAAATTGTAATTCTATAATTACCTTTGTCTGCACCAAAACAAATAAAAATGTCAAACCATTTTAATTGAACGGAAAATAAATTAATACACTTGAATATTCATTTAATTCTTTAACTTACTA